TGTGCCCACATATATTTGGTCCTTGTGGAGCTCCTATCCTTTCCTCATCAGACTAACTCCCCTTCTTTCTTATGATTCCCTGTACTCTGCCAAAGGTTTGGTCATGAGTCTTTGCTTTGAAAACACTGCTAGTTAGAGTTTTTCAAATGCGCTCATTAGACTCCTGTCAATGTTCACTGCGCATCCCATCTGTCTTTCAAAACAAGGATTGGTAATCTTACCCCATGTCCGCTCTCTTGATTATCTTTTTTAGGTGTATAGATTTCATCATGTTTATCATATCTTATAGGTCTATATAAGTGAGTATATACCGTGTTTGTCTTTCTCCTTCAGGGATATTTCACTCAGGATGATCTTTTCTAGATCCCACCATTTGCCTCCAAATTTCATGATTTCCTCCTTTTTGATTGCTGAGTAGTATTCCATTGTGTAAAAATACCACAATTTCTGTACCCATTCCTCCGTTGATGGACAACTGGGTTGTTTCCAGGTTCTGGCTATTACAAATAAAGCTGCTATAAACATGGTTGAGCAAATATCCCTTTTGTGTACTTGAGCAAACGTTGGGTATATACCTCGCAGTGGTATAGCTGGGTCTTGAGGAAGCACTATTCCTAATTGTCTTAGAAAGAGGTGTGTTTCTTAAATCCAGCAGAATGCTGGATCCTGTTTCCACAACCATTCTATCAGTCTGCATCTTTTAATTGGAGAGTTGGGACCATTGGTGTTAACAGATATTAGTGACAAATGATTGCTATTTCCTTTTATTGTGGAGTTGGTGGTGATTGTGTGTTTTGTGCTTATTTTCTTTGGCATTTTTTATTTTGATGGTGTCTTTATCCTGTGTTTTCTTGGGTATGGTTGATCTCGTTGGGTTAGAGTTTTTCTTCCAGTATCTTCTGTACGACTGGATTGCTGAGTATATATTGATTAAAATTCTGAATGTCATGAAATATTTTGTTTTCTCCGTATATGTTGATAAAACATTTGCTGTACTTTGTAGTCTGGCTTGGCATCTGTGATCCCTTAGTTTCTGCATGACATTTGTCCTGGCTCTTCTGGTTTTAATAGTCTCTGATGTGATTCTGATAGGTCTACCTTTATATGGTACTTGGCCTCTTTCCCTTGCTGCTTTTAATTTTTTTTTCTTTGTCTGTAGATTTAGTGTTTTGACTATTATGTGACATAGGGAGTTTCTTTTCTGATCTAGTGTACTCAGTGTTCTGTAGGACTCTTGTATGTTAATGGACATCTCTTTAGGTTTTTTTTTTTTCTTTTAACAGAGTAATTTGCCTTACAAAAGATTTTCAGGTTCATAGGGTTGCATTTATTGAGTGCTGATTAATAAAAATCATAGTTGACTCTGCAACAGAAACTATGAAAAACAGATGGGACGGGGAAAACGTCATGCATACTCTAAGAGACTACAGATGCCAACCCAAACTACTATACCCAGCAAAGCTTTCAATCAACATAGATAGAGAAAACAAAATACTCCATCAGAAATGTAAACTTAAGCAATATCTACACTACAACCCAGACCTACAGAAGATACTAGAAGGAAAACTCCTATCCAATGAAATCAACTACACCCAAGAAAACACAGAAAATAGATAAATTCACAACAAAAATTAAAAGAAAACAATTAATAAAATACCATCAACTCCATAATAAAAGGAACTAGAATTCATTGGTCATTATTATCTAGCAACATCGATAGACTCAACTCTTTAATGAAATGACACAGACTAACAGAATGGATACAGAAACAGGATCCAACATTCTACTGCATCCAGGAAATACACTCTGCAACAAAGATAAACACTACCTTAGAGTAAAGGGCTGGGAAATGTTTTTCAAGCAAACAGACCCTGAAAACAAGCTGGAGTAGCTATCCTAATATTTAATAAAATAGACTTTCAACCCAAGTTAATCAAAAAAGATAAGAAGGGCCATTATATTCTCATCAAAGAAAAAATCCACCAAGAGGACATCACAATTTTGAATATCTATGCCCCAAATACATAGCACCTACATTTGTAAACGAAACATTATTAAAGCTTAAATAACACATTGATCCCAACACCTTAATAGTGGGAGACTTCAACACTTCACTCTCACCAAGGGAAGACCATCTAGACAGAGGCCAAATAGGGAAACAATGACACTTAGAGAGGTCTTAAATCAAATGAACCTAATAGATGTCTATAGAAGTTTTCACCCAAAATCAAAAGACTATACATTCTTTTCAACACCTCATGAAAATTTCTCAAAAATTAACAATATAGAGCAGAACAAAGCAAGCCTCAACATACACCTGAAGAGCTAAATAATCCCTCTATCCTATCAGACCACCTAAAACTAAACCTCAACAACAATAGAAGTACAAAAAGCCTATAAACACAGACAGTACACAACTCTCTCCTCATTGACGGCTTGGTCAGGGAAGAAATGAAAAAAGAAATTAGAGACTTCCTAAAATTTAATAAAAATGAAAGCACAACTTACTCAAAATTATGGGACACAATGAAAACAGTGCTAAGAGGAAAGTTCATAGCACTAAGTGTCTCTGTAAAGAAGCTTAAGACATCTCATACAAACAACTTAATGGCACACCTAAAAGCCTTAGAAAAAAGAGAAGACATACCCAAGAGGAGTAGGAGATTGGAAATAATCAAACTCAGAGCTGAAACCCAAGAATTAGAAACAAACAAATCAACCCACCAAAAAAACAACAAAACAATTCCATGAGAACAAGAGCTAGTTCTTTGAAAAAAATCAACAACATAGACCAAACCTTTGCCAAATAGAATAAAAGGCTGAGAAAAACTATCCAAATCAGCAAAATTAGAAACGAAAAGGGGGCATAATGACAGAGCGCAAGGAATCTTTTGAAAGAAAAAGAAGATAGAAAGACCTGAGGGGGACAGGAGCTCCACAACAACAGAAACAGAACAAAAAAATATATGGGCACAGTTATGTTTTCTGAGAATGATACCTCAACCAATGACTATGCATTTAGTTACCCCAAACTGCTGAATAGATGTAGCCCATGGCAGCTCAATCTCCAAGTGGGCCCTTAATAATGGGAAGAGGAACTGTCTGTGATATGCCGTAGTGGCTGGCTCTTTGAATACCTCCCCCTGATGGGTTAGCAGCCTTACCAGGCCAATGAGGAAGACAATGCAGCCAGTCCTTCTGAGATCTGATAGGCTTGGGTCAGATGGAAGGGGAGGAGGAACTCCCCTATCAGTGGACTTGGGGAAGGCCATGGGATGAGATGAGGGAGGAAAGGTAGGATTGTGTGGGGATGAGGGAGGGGTCTACGGCTGGGATACAAACTGAATAAACTGTAAGTAGTTAAAAAATAAATAATTTTTGAAAGATAATATATTAAAAGCAGCAAGGGAAAAAGAGCAAGAAACATGCAAAGATAGACCTATTAGAATCACACTAGACTTTGTAACAGAAACCAGGAAGTCCAGGAAGGCCTGGACAGATGTTGCAGACTTTAAGAGAACACAGATGTCAAACCAGACTACTATACCCAGCAAAACTTTCAATCAACATAGGTGGAGAAAATAAAATATTCCAAAAAAAAAAGAAAATAAAATATTCCATGATAAAGATTATTTGTAATAAATATATAAATAAAAAATTTGGTTCTCATGTGAATGGCTTCAAATTTTTTAACACATTAATTCATGCTTATCTTTAATCATTAGCTCATGCTGGATTGCTGGTTCAGAGGACTGGAAGAGCTTTTGCCTAGAATGCGTAAAGAGCTGGATTTCATCCTTTATGTTGTTCCACAAACATAATAACAAAAGGAACCTTTTAAAATTATTATAGTATTAACATTTTCCTTAATTTTACAGTCCTATGTTGACAAATACATACACAGTCACCGAGAAGCACCTTAGTACAGTATTGATCACTTTGAGTAAGTGGAAAAAAGGGCTGGGCATATGATCAGAAAGAAAAAACATTTGCATCTAAGCTTGCAAGCTTGAGTTTCATCCCTGAGAACCACACAGTGGAAATAGATAACCAACTCCCACAAGTTGTTTTCTGACTTCCATATGCACATCAGTGCACATGCATGTACATGCATATGTAAATATATATATATATATATATATATATATATATGTATATGTATATCTATCTATCTATATATACAGAGGGGGAGAAAATAGAAACAGGAAACAATTAAGAAAATAAGGAGATATAAACATGACATAAAGAAAAATAAGCACTGAGAATTGTTGAAGCTCTGTCTCACTCCTAAAAATTTAAATAAAACACTTCCAAATTATGATGCTTTCTTTTACAAGTGATAGGTTTTAAACAAGATCCTTGACTTTCATAGCATTTAGGGAATTACCACAATCAACACTCCTAAGAAAACTCATATTTCATTGTTTCATTCTCTGACAAAGAATGAAACAAAAAAGATGCTTTCTAATTAAAATTTATAAGAACCTGTGTTTTCCCTAAAGTAAGCATTCAATAAATTGAGAAAAATAACTGAAATCTTCCTGATAGTTAGCAAAATCCTTATAAACCATCATTCAAATTAAGAGCCTATACTGTATTTTCATCAACGATACTAAATGTAAAGGTCACAATGTCATAACTTTGAAGATAAATTCTGAAGTATTGCAAAGAATAATATTAAATTAAAACTCATCCCAAATGTACATAAATATAAGCTGAAAAAAGAAAAATATGAATCTATTCAAAGTGACAAACTATCATATAGAAGATTATTCTGTAAATTAAGAATGAGAAAGGAATCATTTTTATATCAAGTGATGATTACTAAGCACAAGTGATCCCTTTATTATTTTTTGTTAGAAAAATTATTTGATAAACCTTACTCAATCTCAGTAAAACTATAACATAAGCATTTACTATTAATTATTTAGAAAAACAAACATCAAAACTCCCTTAAGTATTTAACATCATGTGAGCTTTGGTCCCAAAGACTTTCTTACCTTTGCAAGCACAGAATCATACAGAGTACAAGAGAATGGTACCACTTTCTTGGGGAGGTATTCAGGGAGTCTTTCATACATGTAGACACAGAGCATTAGCATCAGCACTGGGTTTGGATCATAGATGTCAATGGCCTAGGTTCACAAGAGAAATAAGTTACAGGATGTACAGATAAAACAGGGAGTAAATGAGGTATAACAGTTACATAATAATTTTAAAACATTCAAAAGTGTTTCTAATCAACAATGGAAGTAAAATAAAGATATAAAAACAGAGCAGTATTCTTAGAGGGAAGTACCAAACATATTAAAGGATGATCAAACTTAACCAGAATGCTAGCACCATACCTTCAAAGTCTTCGTAAAAACAGATCCAGAGTTCCAAAGCACATTTGTGTTTAAAATGATGATTCACATGCATAAACTGACATAACACAGTGAAAGAATTATGACAAGTGCATGTATTACTAAACATAGGAAGGGATTTTCAAGGAAGGCCTATTGGAGACAATGGTACATGAAATGAATCTTTTAGAATGTTTTGACTTTAAGTACATTGTATCTAATATAAAAGAGATGCAGTCTATCAGAAAGGAAAAATACCACAAGGTGAATGTATAAAGAAACAAATAAAATAAAAAAAAAAAACAGCAAGCAAAGAAGCAAGGAAACAACAAACATTCTGAATGCCAGGGTGCAGGCTTGATAAATGAACCTGTACTAAAGAGCAACAATTCAGGCAGGCTAGGTAAGAGCAGTTGGAGAACTTCCTTCTCCACAAGGAACCAAAAAAAAAAATGTACTGATAAACAAGGTAATTTGTCATGGTTGTTGAACTTATTAGAAACAAAATTCCAAAATTTACCAAGATATTTAACAGAGTTAAGACATAAGTGAAAGCAAAAATATAGAATCAGGAAGTGAACAAGGAAGGATTCCACCTAATTTTCTAGGAAAAAGGTAAAATAGTATAAAAGACTATTCATAGCAGAGTTATATTGGCACTGATAAGAGGTATAGCGTCATATTTTATAACTTAGTCAATGTCAGTATACATGGTCCTCTTAGTACATGAACTGATATCGAGATGTAGATATGCTATAACTGAGCAAAAACTCATGTTAGCAAATAAAAGTGATCTGGACCCATCCTGGAAGTGCAAGTAGTGTGAGTCAAGATCTATCATATTATGCAACTGATATTGAAATTAGTCATTTTCAGCCAACAATGGCTATTTGCTTGTCCAGTTACCTTACACCCTTCATTCTGTCTTTAGAAGGGGTTGTTCTTCTTTTATCAATCAGAAGTACTTAAAATGAAGGGGTAAAGTTATATGGTGTGAGTGAAAATTCCTTAAAATAAGCTGTGCCTACAGAGCCTAGTTGACTAATTAGAATTTCAGTACTGTGGAGAGACTGGAATGTTGCAGGTCCAGAGGCCAATTATCTGGTCTTAGGCTAAGTTGCTGTCCTCCAGATTTCTTACCCACCTTTGTGTCAGAACCAACAACTGTCACTAATAGACAGAAAAGTTTGGAATAATTTAACCTGGAAGACCACATGCTTACAGGAACCAAAAAGCTTACAGATAAGCTTACCTCATTTCACTGTATTCACTAATCTAATGTACTTATTAATGTATTTAAAATTTGCCCTGATTTATACATTTATTGCTCTGTAAATGATAAAACTTCAGAAAATTGATTTCATTTTGTAACATGAGAATTTGGGGTAACCTAAATCTGGGCCATGATCACTCAAATTGATGACAGAATAAAGAGTCTCATAACTTTTAAAGCAAGGGCTGTGGTTTTTGCACTGATAATGGGAATGAGCCTGATAAAAACATGATATAATGTAATAATATAATAAGAACTAGGTATACAATCCCACTGAAATCAGGGACAAGACAAGGCTGCCCACTCTCTCCATATCTCTTCAACATAGTACTTGAAGTCCTAGCCAGAGCAATAAGACAACTAAAGGAGATCAAGGGGATACAAATCAGAAAGGAAGAGGTCAAAGTTTCACTATTCACAGATGATATGATAGTATACATGAGTGACCCCAAACATTCAACCAGATAACTCCTTTAGCTGATAAACACCTTCAGCAATGTGGCTGGATACAAAATTAACTAAAAAAAATCAAAAGCCCTCCTGCCCTCCTGTATACCAAAGACAAAAGGGCTGAGAAAGAAATTAGGGAAACTACACCCTTCACAATAGCCACTAATAACATAAAGTACCTTGGAGTGACTCTAACCAAGCAAGTGAAAGACCTGGATGAGAAAAACTTCAAGTCTCTGAAGAAAGAAATTGAAGAAGATATCAGAAGATGGAAAGAACTCCCGTGCTCATGGATCAGTAGAATTAACATAGTGAAAATGATTATCCTGCAAAAAGCAATCTACAGATTCAATGCAATTCCCATCAAAATACCAACACAATTCTTCATAGATCTTGAGAGAAAAATTATCAACTTCATATGGAGAAACAAAAAACCCAGAATTTCAAAAACCATCCTGTATGACAACAGGTCGTCTGGAGACATCTCCATCCCTGATCTCAAGCTGTACCAGAAAGCAATAGTAATAAAAACAGCATGGCATTTGTATAGAAATAGAATAGTGGATCAATGGAACTGAATAGAAGAGCCCAAATTAAACCCACATACCTATGGATATTTGATTTTTGACAAAAAGGCCAAAACCATTCAGTGGAAAAAAAGACAGCATCTTCAACAAATGGTGCTGGTCCAACTGGATGTCTACATGCAGAAAAATGAAAATAGATCCATATTTATCACCCCGCACAAAACTAAAGTCCAAGCAGATCAAAGATATCAACATAAAACCAGATACACTAAATTGGTTAGAAGAAAAAGTGGGTAAGACATTGGAACTCATTGGCACAGGAGACAACTTCCTGGAACAGAACTCCAACAGAACAGGCTCTAAGAGCAACAATCAATAAATGGGACCTCATGGAGCTGAAAAGCTCCTGTAAAGCAAAGGACCTAGTCATCAAAACAAAACAACAGCCTACAGACTGGGACAGGATCTTCACCAACCCTACATCTGACAGAGGGTTGATATCTAGAATATATAAAGAACTAAAGAATTTAAAAAGCAGGGAATCAAACAATCCTATTTAAAAAATGGGGGACAGAGCTAAACAGAGAATTCTCAGTAGAGGAATACAGAATGGCAGAGAAACACTTAAAGAAATGCTCAAAGTCCTTAGCCATCAGAGAGATGCAAATCAAAATGACCCTGGGATTTCACCTGACACCCACAAGAATGGCTAAGATCAAAAACTCAAGTGACAACACATGCTGGAGAGGTTGTGAAGAAAGGGAAACCCTCCTCCATTGCTGGTGGGAATGCAAACTTGTACAACCACTTTGGAAATCAATCTGGCGCTTTCTCAGACAATTAGGAATAGTGCTTCCTCAAGATCCAACTATACCACTCCTGGGCATATATCCAAAAGAGACTCAAGGACACAAAACAAGGAAATTTGCTCAACCATGTTAGTAGCAGCTTTATTTGTAATAGCCAGAATATGGAAACAACCTAGATGTCCCTCAGTTGAGGAAAGGATACAGAAATCGTGGTACTTTTACACAATGGAATACTACTCCACAATTAAAAACGAGGAAATCATGAAATTGCAGGCAAATGGTGGGACCTAGAAATGATCCTGAGTGAGGTATCCCAAAAACAGAAAGACACACATGGTATACACTAACTTATATAGACCTATAAGATAGGATAAATATACTGAAATCTATCCACCTAAAAAAGATAAACAAGAAAGAGGACCCAGAGTAAGATGATCAATCCTCACTTAGAAAGACAAATGGGATGGACTTTGGAAGTAGGAGAAAACAAGTAACAGGACAGGAGCCTACCACAGAGGGCCTCTGAAAGACTCTACCTAGCAATGTATCAAAGCAGATATTAAGACTCATAACCAAAACTCTGGCAGAATGCAGGGAATCAAAAAAATGGGGGAGGGAATTAATACGACTTGGAGAGGACAGGAGTTCCACAAGGACCAAATATATCTGGGCACAGGGTTCTTTTATGAGACTGTTTCTCTAAACAAGGACCATGTATGGATGCAACCTAGAGCCCCTGCTCAGATGTAGTCCTTAGTAGCTCAGTATCCAAGTGGGTATCCTAATAAGGGAAACAGGGACTGTTTCTGCCATGGACTCGATGGTGGGCTCTTTGACCCCCTCCCCCCAGGGAGGAGCAGCCCTGCTAGGCCACAGAGGAGGACTTTGCAGCCAATCCTGAAGATACCTGATAAACCAGGGTCAGATGAAAGGGGAGGAGGTTCTCCCTTTATCAGTGGACTTGGAAAGGGGCAGGGAGGAGATGAGGGCGGGAGGATGGGATTAGGAGGGAAGGAGGGAGTAGGATACAGCCCGGATACAAAGTTAACCAACTGTAACTAACATTAAAAACATAAAAATTAAAAAAAAAGAAATAAAGCTGCTACAAACAAAGAAACAACAACAACAAAAATAAACTGGGTTGAAAGCTGCCCAAGAGGATAATATTTCATTTTTAATAACAATAAATATGTAGGTAAAATATTAATATTATTTCAAAAAATATTCTTTGATAAATGTAACAATAAAAATGAGAAATTAGGTAAATGAAAATGTTTATATGAATAGTAAAATATATGAAATAAGATGTTATTTTTTAAAACAAAATGGAATTGTGAAGAGCTAATCACAAACAGATACATCTACATAACAATCCTTACATATATGGTTCATGGAATATACCAGAGGAAGAGTCAAAATGATTGTCCTAGCCAGACCAACAGGAAGTCTACTATAAAAGAGTGTCTCCTATTTGCAGATTTCTACATGAATACATCCAGTTAGACCAGCAACATTTGTTGAAGATGCTGTCTTTAATTGATCCATTTTTATCACCATGCACAAAAGTAAAGTCCAAGGATCAAAGATTTCAACAAAACCAGACACACTAAATCTGTTACAAGAAAAAGTGGGGAAGAGCCTTGAACTCATTGTCAAAGGAAACAACTTTGTGAACAGAACACCAACAGCATATGCTCTAAGATCAACAAATAAAATGGGATCTCATGAAACTGAAAATCTTCTCTAAGGCAAAGGCACTGTGAAAGAACAGTCAAATGCCAACAAACCAAGTAATCCAATTAGAAAATGAGGTACAGAGCTAAACAGATTATTCTCAATGGAGGAATATAGAATGGCAGAGGAATACTTTAAAGACATGCCCAGTGTCCTTAGTCATCAGGGAAATGCAAACCAAAATGACTCTGAGATTCCATTTCAGACCAATCAGAATGGCTAAGATCAAAAACGCAAAGGGGATAAAACATGCTGGAGAGGTTGTAGAGAAAGGGAAACACTCCTCCATTGCTGGTGGAAATGTAGACTTGTAACATGGCTTTTGAAATCAATCTGGTGCTTTCTCAGGAAAGTAGAAGGACTGCTACCTCAAGATCCAGCTCTACCACTCCTGAGCATACATATAAAATATGCTCAACCATACAAAAAGGACATTTACTCAACTATGTTCATAGCAGCTTTATTCATAATAGCCAGAATCTGGAAAGAAATCTTCAGTACTCAACTGAATATTGAATACAGAATGTGTGGTACATTTACACAAAGGAATACTACCCAGAAATAAAAAACAAGGAAATCATGAAAATTGCAGGCAAATGGCTAGAACTAGAATATATCCTCTTGAGTGATGCAACCCAGAAGCAGAAATACACACGTGGTATATACTCACTCATAAGTGCATATTAGACATATAATATAGGATAAACATACTAAAGTCTATAGCTCAAAGATGCTAAACAACAAAAAGAACCCTAAGGAAGAGGCCTAGGCCTCATTCAGAAGGGCAAAAAGGATAGACATTGGAAATAGGAGAAGACAGGGAACAGGACAGGAGAATACCACAGAGGGCCTCTGAAAGACTCAGGGTATCAAGGCAGATGCTGAGACTGATAGCCAAAGTTTGAGCAGAATGCAGGCAGTATTATGGAAGAAAGGGAAATAGAAAGTCCTGGAGGGGACAGGGGCACCACAAGGAGACCTACAGAGGCAAAAAGTCTGGGCCCAGGCAGTCCCGTGGAGACTGATGAATCAACCAAGAACCATGCATGGAGAGGACCTAGACTCCTTGCTCAAATGAAGCCCATGGACAGCTCAGTTTCCATGGGGGTTCCCTAGAAAAGGGAGCAAGAGTAGTCACTGGCATGAGTTCTGTTGCCTGCTCTTTGATCACCTCCCACTAGGCCACAAATAAAGATGATCCAGCCAGTGCTGATGAGACCCGATAGGGAGGGTCAGTTAGTAGGGGAGGAGGACCTCCACTATCAGTGGACTTGGGGAAGGACAAAGTGGTAGAAGATGGATGGAGGTTGGGAATGTGAGGAGATGAGTGAGGGGGCTATAGCTGAGATACAAAATGAATACATTGTAAATAATAATAATTATAGTGAAAAAAGAAAAAAAAGTATCTCCTAAAATTGGCTGCATAAGCAAGAACAGAATAATAGGACCATACATGGAGATAACCTAGAACCCCTGCACCGATGTAGGTCATCACAGCTCAGTGTCCAAGTGGTTTCCCTAGTAAGGAAAACAGGGACTGTCTCTGACATGATCTGATTGGCCTGCTCTTTGATTGCCTCCCCCTGAGTGGGGAGCAGCCTTACCAGGCCACAGAGGAAGACAGTGAAGCCTGTCCTGAATAATAACAATCATAATGGAAATGTCAATGTTAAAGGAAAATATCATGGGACCTATCTCACACAAAGAACTACAGGAAACTACTGACTGCTAGTAAAAGGAGAATTAGGCGCTCTCAGGTTGTTCAATACAGAGTAGTCAGCCTTAAAACTTTATAAACACAAACAGCTAAAATAAACTCATCAAGTTCTACTTACATTTATTTGTAAACACACACACACACATACCTGTGTCTGTGTGTATCAAATATAATAAAAAAGGAAGAAACTATTAACTTGACAGTGGTGGCCATGAAAGGGTTTCAAGAGAAGATACATAGGAAGTGGAGAAGGGTAGATGGGAAGGGAATATGACCTAATTCTATTTCAGTTAAAACAGTTGTTTAAAAAATATCAAGAAAGACAATTTATAAAATGAATCAGGTTTCTACAAAGAAAAACATACATAAGAAATTTCCCAGTCCACTGAAAAGGGAGGTCTTCCTCCCCTTCCTGCTGATCCAAGTCTATCAGGTCTCATCAGGACTAGCTGCATTGTCTTTTTCTGTGGCCTGGTAAGGCTGCTCCCCGCTTGGGGGGGAGGTGATAAAAGAGCAGACCAATCAGTTCATGTCAGAGACAGTCCCTGTCTCCATTACTATGGAAGCCACTTGGATACTGAACTGCCATAGGCTACCTCTGTGCAGGGGTTTAAGACCATCTCCATGAGTGATCCTTGGCTGGAATATCAGTTCAGAAAAGACCCCTGTGCCCAGACTTATAGGATCTGTCACTGTCCTTGTGGAGCTCTTGTCCTCTCCAGGTCTTACTATCTCCCACTCCTTTCTTAAGATTCCCTGTATTCTGCTCAAAGTTTGGCTATGAGTCTCAGCATCTGCCTCAATACCCTGCAGGGTACAGCCTTTCAGAGGTCCTCTATGATAAGCTCCTGTGGGACACCGGTGGAGAAGAGGGAGGGTGGGATTGGGAGGGGAGGAGGGAGGGAGGTACAGGGGGTATACAAAGTGAATAAATTGTAATTAATAAAAATTAAAAATAAAAAAAGAAATTTCACTAAAGTAATTCTTACTTTATATAAATCAAAACAATATCACTTGTACTGATTTGTTTACTACTTTGAGGATAATAAGTAGGGATTTTTGTTTTGTTTTGTTCTTCCTTTTGTTTTGTCTTTTTATGATTTAGTTTTGTTGAAGTATTAATAAAAGATAAGGTAATAAAGGATAGCTTGAACAATGAATGATCTTCTTAAAGTCTTTGTAATAAAGGTTTGTTTGCCTGCATGGTACTACTGGGAAAATAGCAGAACTTTGAAAAGTAAATATTTGTGAAAGATCTTGAAAAACTGTAAAGGGATCAAGTTATAGAAGGAGCCTGTAGTATCTTGTTTTCTACTTATGGCTCCCAGCTACCAAGATAAATATTTGCTTTAACATATGTGCCGACCTTTCTAGAGGCTCAGGTTAATGGATCCACTCAGTTACAGATACTTTCTCATTGTAATTATCTCATTTCTCATTGATGAAAAATTGGCTATCTCAATAAGAAATTTTAAAAATATATGAAAGATATAATATCACAGAAAAAGTTCAAGTTGTTTTGCACATTACTATGCTCTTAAGAAACTCAAGTGGATTTCCTGAGACTAAGCTTCATGATAGCAACTAGATGGGATGCTGCCTTTGTTCAAGAATAATTAAATATGCCATAATATTTAAGTTATCAAAAGCTTTCACGCTAGACAACAACCAATTTTAAAGTCCCCTGTGATGTGTTTCAACCCCATAGAGACTGATGTTTATTCCCATCAGTTATTTTACTCTTTCATGTTCACTAGAAATTTAGTCAATATTTCATTGGGTAAGCAGTGGCTTATCCAAAAGCTTGTGGGATAATTTTGTAAAATGACATGCAATGAGAAATACAATCTGGGTCTAGTAGAAAATCTCCTCCTTCTCATCCTCGTCATTTTCTTTTTCTTCATCATCTTCTTATTATTATTCTTTTGTAAAAAGAGTATAAAAATAAGATGCAGTATTTAGGTCTAGCTGCTATTTAAATAATGATTATTGCCGAGAATACCAGCAAAAAAAGTGGGGTTCTTAGGGTTCATATTTGATATATCAGCATGGTAAGAATGGCTGCAAAACAATACACCTGGAAAACTTTGCTGAAATACACAACAGTTGGCTTAGAAATTTTGTTTGACTTTATCTTACTTAAAATGCTGAAATTTATTATTTTATAATAACTTTATGTTCATCAACTTTCTGAGATAAGACTAAACATCTCCTATGAAAGAAAAAAGCTAGCAAAAATTTAGTGACAAATCTAGCTTAATTGTTCATCTTTACTGTCAAAATTAAGTGTCATAATTAAATTTTAGATAACCAAAGCATTTATTGAGAGTCAAATTTGAATTTCCATTGTTCAACCCATGGAAATATGATTCAATTTAGATTTAAAATGTGTAAGTGCAGGGATATTATAAATGAGTAAATGAATCAATTATATAAACTTTTTAAAGTATCTGTGATATAAAAGTACTCACCTGTATGCTGAAATCAAAGCCAATTTCACAAAAACTATTTATAATAATCAAACAATTGTGCAAACACTGTTCGGGATATTTTGGTTGTGTATACATATTTATAAAATGAGACTCAATCTGGAAATTAAAGCAAAGAGAGCTTTAATTAATGGAATAACAACAGGTGAGTGTAGGTTTTCTTGGTAATACAACAAAGGATCATTTGGATTTTAGCATCTGAAACAAAATATTGCAGTCAGCACCTAAGAATAAACAAAAATGTAATAGCATTCATGTTTTTGAGGTAAAATTAAGATATTTAAAAAAGCAGTTTATAAGAAATAAACTTCAAAACTTAATCACTAACTTTTCTCAGACAGAAGACTACTATTGGACAATGAAACAATGCTTACCAAAAATGGGCAGTATGCTGCAAGCTGTGTAGCAAAAACAAGGCCATCAGAAAGGTCTGTGTCAAAATTTACTATCCATTTCTCAGAAGGAACACCTATTTTGAATAAAGGAAAAATATAATAATATTTTAATTATTGAAATATATTTACAGCAATTTGAAAAACAAAGAAAGCTATATTTCAATGTTATACGAAAATCATAATTTAAATATACAATTTTCATGAATAATAAGTATGATAGTTATCTTTGGCAACCTAATACAACTAGAGTTACCTGGGAACAGTCTCAACAGGAGACTGTCTATACTGGATTGGCTAATGGGAATATGTATGCAAGTGGTACTATCTTAATTGTCTTAACTGAAGTAGAAACAACTGCTCAATTATAGCAAATAGCAATCTCTTGATAGAGTGCTGAGCTATGTTTGAGTGGAAAAAATGAGCAGGGTATGAATGTACACATTTCTTTCAGCTCTTGGCTACAGATGTAATGTGATTAGCTGTTTGAAGGTCTCAAGTTGTCTTCCCTACAATGTAGACTATAACTCAGTATTAAAAGCTGATATAAATCTTATTCATCCCTAAGTTGCTTTTAGTCAAAGTATTCTATCATAGCAACAAAAATAAAACAAAAACACTATGAAATATCTTCATAAGACTTAAAATCAACTGCAGGTTGTACCTTACTGCTACATGTGTCACTCTGAAAAACACTATTTCATGTACTAATAAAAAAGATTTCATATTTTGCCATTACTCATCTTTCCTGTCTTCTTTCCTTCTTTAATCCTTTTTAGAAAGATCCTCATATAACCTAGGGTATCCTTAGCTTATCTATGAGGAGGAAGATTACTTTGAAGTCTGATTCTACTGCTTCTACCAGTGAAGTGCTGGGACTTCAGACATGCCACCACACCCTTCTATACACATTATTTTTAATTACTTTGTTCAAATGTTTGACCAATAATGAGCAACATGGAAGATTACTGAGGTTTATTTGTTAAAGAAATTCTTCCACAAGTCAGATATTTACAAGATACAGATTTATGTCTTGAAGAAATCAAAACTAGACTATGAAAAATAACAGGAGATAGAAAAATAATAACAAGAACTCTCAAATTACAAAGTGATTAATATACTAAAACTGGAACAAGTGAAATTATCTGGGTACTGGGCATGTATCTGAAAAGCTATCCAAATTTTGGTGGTGAAGAGAGTATACAGAACTTAAAGCTACTGTTGAATATATTTTTCCTTATTTTATACTTTCAAAACTGGCAAACATTCTTCATAGAAATATATATATACACACACATTATACATACATATATATGTGTACACACATATATATGTATATATATATGCTTATATATATACTCTTACTTTAAATCAAGTGGGATAATAGTAAGTATCAGAGATACCTTCCAATTCCCTCATTCATTCTTATTTACTTTGAAGAAGAAATGACAAAAGATATGTTCAGGACAAGTGTGTGTTATTTCCACAAACCAGAACAAGATTACACTTGAAAGAACAACATTTAGTTTTCCCTTGGACCACAGACACCCAAAACACTTTACAGAAACCTTTACTTTTTCATTGCAACTTCAGTATGAAATATTTTGGTAAGATTTTTGTAGCATTATGCCCTATAAAGTTGTTCTTGGAAACGCACATTAACAGAAATCTTCAAACAAATACAGAACAAATCAAAATTATACAATATATTTTTCACTTTTCCAGCTTTAAGTATAACTGCCAAATAAAATTATATTCATATTAAATAAGTGTGGAAATTTCGTTTATATGTACCTCCTGCTATATCTCTTAAAATCAAGCTAATTGTCACATAGGGGATTTCACATAGTTATTATCATTGTATGTGCGTATGGTTTATGGTATTTTGTCGGGACCCAAAGCCAGCTAGTGGAAAGTTACCGACAGCTGCACCAGGACTTTTAAGGTCATGGGTGAGAGATTTATGTTCCAGGAACTTGTGAGACATCTGCTCATTAGGCTAGAGCATCTTGAGATATCTTAGCTAACATTCTTGTGGCATCTCTCTTAACAAACATTCTTGCGGTATTTTGCATCATAAACCACCCTGCTATCTCTTGTACCATAAACTACCCTGCTGACGCATTTTTCCTTCCTGCCTTCTCCCTATAAAGTTGTGTGAAAAATTAAAAAAAAAAAAACAAAAAAAAAACAAGAGCTTGATCGGATCTTAGACATGCTCTCCTTCTTTGTGTCTTTTGTTCTCTCATTCATTTGCCCCTCCTCAGGTACCCGTTGAATTCCCCGTGGGGCGGGGCAGTATTTGATAAAAGTAATTTTCCTAATTTACAAGTCGGGTTTTTCTCTTTTTTGAGCATTTCTTAATTTTTTATTTTTTATATTGAGTACAGTTTATTCACTTTTTATCTGAAGCTATAGCCCCCTCACTCATTCCCTCAAAATCTTACTCTCCTTCCTTCATTTCCTGCCATGGCCCTCTCCAATTCCACTGATAGGGGAGGTCTTCCTCCCCTTCTATCTGACTCTAGCTTATCAGGACTCATCAGGATTGGTTACATTGTCCTTCCTATGTGGTAAGGCTGCTCCTCCCTCAGGGGGATGTGATCAAGAAGCAGCCACTGAGTTCAGTCAGAGACAGTTCCTATTCCTCTTACTATGGTACCCACTTGGATACTGAGCTTACATGGGCTACAACTGTGAAGGGGTTCTAGATTATCTTCATCCATGGTCCTTGGTTAGAGTATCAGTCTCTGAAAAGGCCCCTGAGCCTAGGTTTCTTAGTTCTGTTGCTGTCCTTGTGAAGCTCCTGTCCTGTCCAGGTCTTTCCATCTCCCCCTTCTTTCATTAGATTCCCTGTACTCTGCCCAAAATTTGGCTATGAGCCTCAGCATCTGCTTTGATACCCTGCTTGGTAGAGTCTTTCAGAGGCCCTCTGTAGTAGGCTTTTATCCTGTTCCCTGTTTTCTCCCTCTTCAGATGTCCATCCCATTTGCCTTTCTGGTTAAGGATTAATCATATTACCCAGGGTCCTCCTTCTTGCTTAGCTTCTTTAGGTGTACAGATTTTAGTATGTTTATTCTATATTATAGGTATAATATCCACTTATAAGTAAATATATACCATGTGTGTATTTCTGCTTCTGGGATCCCTCACTCAGGATAATCTCTCCTAGTTGCCACCATTTGCCTGCAAATTTCATTATTTCCTTGTTTTTAATTGCTGAGTATTTTCCATTGTGTAAATGTACCACAATTTTTGTACCCATTCCTTAGTTGAGGGACATCTGGGTTCTTTCCATATTCTGGCTATTACAAATAAAGCTGCTAGAGAATATGTTTTAACAAATGTCTTTGTTGTGTCCTTGAGCATATTTTGGATGTATGTCTAGAAGTGGTATAGCTCGATCTTGAGGAAGCACTATTCCTCATTGTCTGAGAAACAGCCCAATTGTTTTCCAACGTGGTTGTACAAGGTTACATTTGCACCAGCAATGGAGGAGGCTTCGCCTTTCTCCACATCCTCTCCAGCATGTGTGGTCACTTGAGTTTTTTATCTTAGCCATTCTGATGGGTGTAATTTGAAATCTCAAGGTCGTTTTGATTTGCATGTCCCTGATGACTAAGGAAATTGATAATTTCCTTAAGTGTTTCTCTACCATTTAATATTCCTCTATTGATAATTCTCTTTTTAGCTCTGTACACAATTTTTAATTGGATTGCTTGATTTGTTGCTTTTTGACTTTTTGAATTCTTTATATATTTTGGATATTAATCCTGTGTCATATTTAGGGTTGGTGAAGATTCTTTCCTTGTCTGTAGGCTACAGTTTTGTTCTGATGGCAGTGCCTTTTGCTTTACAGAAGACTTTCAGTTTCATGAAGTCCTTTTATTGATTGTTGATCTTAGAATGTGTGCTGTTGGTGTTCTGTTCAGGAAGGTGTCTCCTGGGCCAATGAGTTTAAGGCTCTTTCCCACTTTTCCTTCTGCCAGATTTAGAGTGTCTGGTTTTAAGTTGAGTCTTTGATCCACTTGGACTTTACTTTTGTGAAGGCTGATAAATATGGATCTGTTATCATTTTTCTGCATGTAGACATCCATTTAGTCCAGCACCATTTGTTGAAGATATTGTGTTTTTTTTTTTTTTTCTATTGTATGCTTTTGGTTTCTCAGTCAAAAATAAATTATCCTTAGGTGCATGGGTTTATTTCTGGATTTTCTATTCTATTCCATTGATCTACCATTCTGTTACTGTGCTAGTACCATGCAGTTTTTATTACTATTGCCTCATAGTACAGCTTGAGATAAGGGATAGAGATACTTCCAGATGATTTGTACAACAGTAGAGGATTGTTTTGGAAATTCTGTGTTTTTTGTTTTTCCATATGAAGTTAAGAATTGTTCTTTCAATGTCTGCAAAGATTTGTGTTGGTATTTTGATGGGAATTGCATTGAATCTGTGGATTGTTTTTGGCAACATGGCCATTTTCCCTTTGTTTATCCTACCAATCCATAAGCACGTGAGTTCTTTCCATCTTCTGATATCTTCTTCAATTTTTTCTTCAGAGACTTGAAGTAGTTTCCCTAATTTCTTTCTCAGCCCTTTTGTATTTCATATACAGAGGGATACTGATTTTTTTGAGTTAATATTATACCAGCCTCTTTGTGAAGGTGTTTATTAGCTGAAGGAGTTCTCTGTTTGAATTTTTGTGGTCACTCATGTATACAATCATATCATCTGCAAATAGTAATACTTTGACTTTTTCCTTTCTGATTTGTATCACCTTTATCTCCTTTAGTTGTCTTATTGCTTCAGCTAGGACTTCAAGTACTATGTTGAAGAGTAACGGAGAGTGGGAAGCCTTGCCTTGTCCCTGACACAATATAAGAATAATATGAATAGACAAAAAAGAAGATTCTAGTCTCCAAGGTCCAGAAAATATTTTCAAGAAAATCATTGAAGAAAATTTTTTCAACTTAAAAGGAGAGATGTCCATAAACATTCAAGAGGTCTACAAAACACCAAAGAAAACCCTTTGCATCACATATTAGTCAAAACACAAAATCTACAGAGCAAAGAA